TTACGCCTTCTTTCTTTGTGTGAACATTTGGGCGGCGTTATGCAAATCTTCCCACACAGTGAAGTAGACATGTGGGTGCGTGTTCAAACGAGGCGTTTTAGGAGGGTGTGGACAAGTCTCTTTTTGAAAGAATATCTCTTTGGATTTGAGACTTTAGTCTTTGCAACTTTATGATAATGTTCTTAATAAACTTGTTTGGTCTATTGGCAGCTCCCCTCCTGTGCAGGAATGAGAGACAGAACAGCATTTCTCCCTCTGGTGGGTCAAAACACTTCGATCTCTGTAACATAACCTGCGGCAGAATCATAATTAAGTGACAGGATAACCAAACGCAGTATTTATTCAATTATGATGGCTTCACCCACCCCCTCCTTCTTCCGATTACATCGCACAGAGGGGCATGACTATCACGTGTATTTAATTCAGATTTTGCTCGATACGGATTATGCGCTAAACACCTACATGATAAATAGCTTTAATACCTCCAGATCAGATTTAGTAGCTTTCTTTCCCTGCTTAGCACTTCACAGCCGTCCCAGGAGGGACAAAGCATACCTTAAAGTCAGGGAAATTCCGAACAATGGGTTTTGGTCTCCTGCCCAACATTAAGCCATCCCACTCCGAGCTCTGCTTTTGCCTCTGCAGAATTTCTGTTTTAATCAGAAGCCGAATGGAAAAGGACCCTGTGTGCCTCTGGGATATTTTTCCATTAACCATTCTGACACATGACTGACTGTGGGGGATTATTGGCTTTTGAAGAACTATTAACAGCTGTACATTTGCATTTTAATACAGTTCTCCTCCACTACTAATGCAATTTTGGTTCGCAGCTTTGTTGCCGCCTTGTTCCTGGAGCAATTCAGGGTAAAAGCAAAAAAGCCCTCCGGCTTTAATCATTTTAATTGCCATGAACAATTTTTTTAGGCCTTTGAAACTGCTATGCTGTGACTGAAAACCACAGGACTTATATATCTAATATAAATATTCACTTAAAAACATTCACTTAAAAAAAAAACAGTGAAATAAAAAAATTTGGCTTTTGAAGAACTATTAACAGCTGTACATTTGCATTTTAATACAGTTCTCCTCCACTACTAATGCAATTTTGGTTCGCAGCTTTGTTGCCGCCTTGTTCCTGGAGCAATTCAGGGTAAAAGCAAAAAAGCCCTCCGGCTTTAATCATTTTAATTGCCATGAACAATTTTTTTCATTAATCACTCCTGAATCTCTGCTACTGTGAGAGTGAACGCGCCATTACTGCTCCTCCTTAAAACTGTTACTCATCATTTCCAGAAAGTTTGCCACAGCGGTGGACACGTTCCCCCTCAGAATATTAAATGACTAGAAGGGGGCGTTTCAGGACAGCTCTGGAATTTCAAAATAGCCGTTGCACTTTTGTTTATTAAATGTGAGGAAAGAAAATAAAATATGGGCTACTAGGATAGAAGAACGTCTAGCATTAAAAAATTAATTGTCTTCTTTCTTCATTTTTTTTTTTAGCTTTTAAAGATAAAACATTTTTGAGCACAATTTATGAGTCTCTGCACTCCTAATGACAAATCAAAACACATTTTATGGCTGTAAACACATTCAAGGTTCTCTAGCAAAATGTGTTCCTGGCTTTCATTGCAGCACTGCGGGTCACCCATGTGAACTTTCTGTGCATTTACAGCTTATTCAGATGTAACATTTCCTTTGATTTTTACACAAGAAGGTGAGGGAGCGGCGCGAGCTGGGTCTGTGGAGAGATGGTAACCTTTGCTAAAGCACCTCCATTACCATTTCTGCATGCTGTCTGGATTCATCTCCCTCTCCAGCAGCCAGAAGGTTAGCACGCCACATTAGGCATTATGCATGAAGGTGTCATTTGAGACACAATACAACATTTTCCTACATTTTCAAACACTACTGATATTTCCAGCTTTGTTTCAGCCACTTTCTGCTTTTGAGTTTGTACTACCAGACAATATCACAGGGATATGCATTACAGTTTTGAATGTTTAACAGATTGTACCATAATTAATTTGGATCTTAAACTATTTTTTGTGTTGCTTTGTTTCTACATTTTTGTATATCTCACCTGCACACACTGGTAAGTTTGAAGTGGAATATTAACGTCATATCATTTGCAATCAATTTTATGTTGGCCTTTTTAAATTAAAGAATTCACTGTGTTATTAGAAATGCTCTTCCTCAGACTAAAATTTGTGCTTAGACTAAAATTTGCTGTTTATTAAAATTTGGCTGTAGAAATTACTTTATGCTGCTTTATGACGTAACAGAGATTAATGTTTGTCCCGTCTAAACATCCAGGCCTATATTTACACATCATCTCATACTAGGCCACGTAACAGTTCTAAGAAAGAAAGATTAAAAGACTCTTAAAGGGGTCACGAACTGAGAAATCAAAATTCCTTTGATCTTTTGACATATAAGAAGCCATTGT